ACCGGAACCTGCGTTCAGCCCCTCAACCAGCAACCCCCGGGTGAAACTCCACCTCCTCAGTATAAAAAGCCATCATGGTGTTGTTGTGCAATGCGCAGCTCATTTTACAACAAGCCTCCAATAGGGCAATGGGTAGAGTYTTGGKCCAYAGAGTAGGAGACCAGGATTCGAGACCGGCATGGACACGATTTAATTATTTATTTTCGTTCTTTATGAACACATTTTCTCATGTACCTCTATTGTTTAGCTTATTAAAGCCTTGTTAAAGCCTATTTGTTCGAGTTTCTGAGGTATTTTGACCGCTGCTGCTCCCTGCTCTGGTAACAGCATGCAGAGTGAGCGCAGAGCAGAGGAGGGAGAGAAAAAAAAAGAAGCTGCGACCAACTCTGCCTCTGGGTCTCGTACAGTTGTACAATGGAGCTTCTGCTATTATTAGCCATGCTAAGTAAACGCTGGCTTTGGAGGGCYGAGTTAATGTCAACAGAGTTTTGGAGGGCGTTACCAACAGAGCTCATTAACATAAACAGCTCTTCTGAACAGAAGTCAGAGCAGGCAGAACTAGAAAATGGGAAATTTTGTTATCTAAGAATTATTTTGTGCATTAAATCAAATGAACATGGTCTGGATAGCCCACAGACATACCATWAAAATTTCTAGGACCCATAATTGGCCTCCTTTAAATTGTGAATTATGAAGATTTCTGTTGTTTTATTGATCACGTGCAAACAATACAGGTACGAAGGTGTGTACTCACGAAGCTCGTCAAAGTGTGTTTCCATGCCGTCAGACCCTGGCACGGAGCAGATGAGCCTGGCCTTCAGGAAGGAGCTCCACTTGTTGACCAGACAGCAGTGACCCCCATCATCATTCTGGTTGAGGTGGGGGGACACAAAACACATTTACTCCAATAGTTGCACTGGTTTAAGCATTCTCTTGTGGAAACAAACCAACTTTGAAGTCACAAAAACACATTAAGCCAGGACTTAAGATGCCCTCTGGCTGTCTCTGTGTGGTTTCTGAATGGTGGCCAGAGGGGTTGAAGCCAACCCACCCCTAATGCTCCTTTGTGCTACAAAGTAGGGTAATAACAGAGCTCAAATGGTCGGCATGTGAAAAGGTAATCTGAATAGGCCTGTCATGATAAATTTTACTGGACGATTAATTGTGTCCGAAATTATTGCGATAAACAATAATATTGTTGGAGACCAGTTRAAGCTAATGTAATGATAACCCCCCTGTTTATAGAAGTTTACATTAAAATTTACATAGTGTAAAAAGAAAAAAACAACTGTCAGCAATCGCAAGGTTTGGCACAGTGCCCTGAGGCGTCACCAGCTGTATGAAGGCATCAGAAAACAAACAAGCGTGTAAATGAAACTTATTGTTCTCATTTTAATTTATGATTAAATCATATCATATGATATCATATGATTAACTGATTTATTGTTTATTGTGAGAGGCCTAAATCTGACTTTACAGCATAATAATGTGATGAAGTGATAACATGTGGTCCATGTGTATTTATGATCCTTGATATATTGTCCTGGTTTTTGTGGACATTTGGGGGAACTTTTTTATTTTAATTGTCTTAAGCCCCCCCTCTCTCTCTCTCTCTCTCTCTCACACACACACACACAT